CACTGTAGCTGGCTCCACTTTGAAATACATAAAGAAGTTAAATATGGCTCCACTTTGAAACAATACTGAACTTAGATTCACAATGACACAGTGTACTGGCTCCAGTAGCACTGTAGCTGGCTCCACTTTGAAATACATAAAGAAGTTAAATATGGCTCCACTTTGAAACAATACTGAACTTAGATTCACAATGACACAGTGTACTGGCTCCAGTAGCACTGTAGCTGGCTCCACTTTGAAATACATAAAGAAGTTAAATATGGCTCCACTTTGAAATAATACTGAACTTAGATTCACAATGACACAGTGTACTGGCTCCAGTAGCACTGTAGCTGGCTCCACTTTGAAATACATAAAGAAGTTAAATATGGCTCCACTTTGAAATAATACTGAACTTAGATTCACAATGACACAGTGTACTGGCTCCAGTAGCACTGTAGCTGGCTCCACTTTGAAATACATAAAGAAGTTAAATATGGCTCCACTTTGAAATAATACTGAACTTAGATTCACAATGACACAGTGTACTGGCTCCAGTAGCACTGTAGCTGGCTCCACTTTGAAATACATAAAGAAGTTAAATATGGCTCCACTTTGAAATAATACTGAACTTAGATTCACAATGACACAGTGTACTGGCTCCAGTAGCACTGTAGCTGGCTCCACTTTGAAATACATAAAGAAGTTAAATATGGCTCCACTTTGAAATAATACTGAACTTAGATTCACAATGACACAGTGTACTGGCTCCAGTAGCACTGTAGCTGGCTCCACTTTGAAATACATAAAGAAGTTAAATATGGCTCCACTTTGAAATAATACTGAACTTAGATTCACAATGACACAGTGTACTGGCTCCAGTAGCACTGTAGCTGGCTCCACTTTGAAATACATAAAGAAGTTAAATATGGCTCCACTTTGAAATAATACTGAACTTAGATTCACAATGACACAGTGTACTGGCTCCAGTAGCACTGTAGCTGGCTCCACTTTGAAATACATAAAGAAGTTAAATATGGCTCCACTTTGAAATAATACTGAACTTAGATTCACAATGACACAGTGTACTGGCTCCAGTAGCACTGTAGCTGGCTCCACTTTGAAATACATAAAGAAGTTAAATATGGCTCCACTTTGAAATAATACTGAACTTAGATTCACAATGACACAGTGTACTGGCTCCAGTAGCACTGTAGCTGTCATTCACTACTTCGTGACATTTAAAAAAACCACATCACAACATTACCACATAAACCACCGGGGCTTATTCTTGCAGAAAAACGTCTTAATTGCAGTAACCAGAACCTCATTATTCTTGAAGTTAATCTATGGTTGCCAGAGAGTGTAGAGAAATCCATTGCATGATTCTCCAAATTACCATGAGGATGATACACAGAACAAATGAAACATTTTGCTTAGTCAACCCCTATTTTAATTCCCAATGCTCGAACATGACCCTATGTAGGAGTACCAGGGACTTGTGGATTGACGACTAGTGTTGAGGGTATCATTAGAGTTGCTTGGCTCACCCTCAAAGGTGGCCTAGCTCTAACCTTCTTTAATATGAGAAACCTCTACAACAAGACCAAGTTGACCAAGGCATGTGATACCTAGCAAGGCATATCACACCTATTCCCTAACACTTTCTGAGACAATGCCCAATGACTAGTTGGTCCCCATGGCCCAACTCTCCCATAAAAGGAGGCCTCCCTTCCATATGCAAGAAGCTCGTACACCCTCAACGAGAGCTCCTCCGCACATGGAGAGCCACCTCATCCCCATCTTAGAGCCACCTTAGAGGCATCCCCATCTTGAATTGGATGTGCCTAGGTAACATTAACAGAAAGGCGCTTGAATTGTGTGTGCCTACATGGACTAAAATGATGGTGCGTCGGGATTTGAATGTGCAAATGTGGCATGAATGGTAATATAGTGAAAATGAGTGTACCTATGTGGCATGAATGATGATGTGGTAGAAGTGGATGTGCCAAAATGGCTGAACAACGCTGTAGTTGAATTTGGGTGTCAACGTAGCATGAAATGACGAATGATATTTGAAGTTGGGTGTGTTTACATGGCATGAACAACTATGTTGAATTTGACTGTGCCAAAGTGGCATTGATAATGATATTTGAAGTTAGGCGTCATTACAACATATAAGACTTTTCGCCATTAATTATTTTGGTCTCTAAATGGTTTTTGTGAAAAAATTAAATTCGTCACCAAAAAAGTCGCTAAAATCGCGTCTAGAAAAGTCAAAGTTAACTGTTGGCAACTAATTTTTGAAAATGTCACTGAACATGACAATTAGCAACAAAATTTATTTGGTCACAACACAAAATGTCCCAATTTGATTGCAAAAAACAAAATAGTGACATTTTTAACAACAATTATATTTAGTTACTAAAGACAAATTACTTTATCTACCACACATTTTCGTCACCAAAAGTCAGAGTTAGAAAATATTATGTAACCATTTAATTTCATAGCTAAAAAGGCACAAAAGTTAAATTTTCCATCCAATCATATAAAAATATATATATATATTGGACATCCACAAATCAAAGACAATATATTCCCAAACTATAATCAGCATATAGAAAGTAAAATTTTACAAAAATTAAAACTCAAAATTTCCAAATCACTTCAACATAGTTCATTATATGAGTTAAAACTCAAAACAAGTCTAATTCCCAAACTTGATTACAAGCTATCACTTCAAAATAATCTGGGGTCTAAAGGCCAACACATAGGTAGGAGATGATGGAACCTGTTCCCTCCGGTTAGTCCTCTGGCTAACCTTCTACTTCTCAACCAGGACCTTCTTTATCCCGACACAACTAGCCCCCCTCACTTGGCATCAGCCACTACACAAAACAATCACGTATCAATATATATTTGCACTACAAATATGGTACAATTTAACATTTGCTGAAACCCAAATTTTTTTTTCTTTGTAATATTGGGAATGATGATCAGAAAGACTAAAACACAATTGTATAGAATACCATAAGAGCTTAGTACCACACAACATATACCAAATGAAACAAGAAAAAAGAAAAAGAAAAAGAAAGAAATAACACAACATATGTCATTATCAGGATTAGATGAACCTGAACTTACAAATTATGTAAGACTTAAAAAGTAGAGAAAAGAACTCAATCAATTGATTGAACATCAAATCACATAAAATTCACCTTGTCAGCCTTGGCAGCAGCCTTCGCATATTTTCCATATAATTCTTCTCTAATAGCAAGCTGACCTTTCAATTTTTTATCTCGTAAACCCTGCAAATGTATATGATTTTCAGGGCAATAGAAGAAGAAAGAAATAAAAGTGCCTAAGAATCTCAAACACAAGTGTCATACCTCCAAATTAGCACCTTCACCTCTAAGGTACTTTTTTACTTTCATATTTATCTCATCATTAATCTCCTGCAAACCAAAATTTTGAAGTTTCCTGGTGGCATTTGGAGGGGAGGGAGTTCATCAATTTCATGCTTAGCTTCATTCAGCAACCAATCAACCACCTTGTTGGGCTGATTAAGACCTAGCCTTTCTTGAAGATCATACAATTGAATGGTCGTTGGGACCGAAAGCCTTACCCGTCTATCTCACAATGCAGACTTTGCTATGCCGGTCCTTTCCTCCAAAAGCTTGCCAGACGTGTACAATTCATGGATTATTCAGCTTTGACCATGGGTTTTTGAACTACATGAAGCCTTAGAGTTGTTCTTCCCATCAACTGTGTTGTCTTCTTGTTTTGTTGTAAGATCTTCTTCCCTTGAAGTTGTAATCATCTTATGTCTCTCATTATCGGTGCAAAAAAAAGCAAATGACCGACTGAATTGCCTCAAGTTGCAGGTTCCTCAGATTTTTCTTTTCAGTCTCCTAGAATGGCCTTCCTTATATAAAGTTCCTTACAATTCTCTTCTTTATGATCCATAGAAAATAAATAAATAAATAAGTATTAATAGAGAAGCAATGATATAATACTGCAATCACAACCCTACTTGTCAAAAACTTACACAAACTAGGTTGGTCAAAGCTCATATACCCTATATGAAATTAGCATCTACCACAGTGGATTTGCATAGCCTATGAGTATCACATATATTCACATAATCACACACAAAGCAAGGGATGATATTCTTTAGCTAGATTGATCAATTGCTTAACAAGTTCTCAAGTTAATGGCAAGTCTTAAGTGCTACAATCAATTTTATGATGATTTGATGTTAGTGAATTGGAACTATACAATGATTTGGTGTTAGTCATAGAAAATAGTCAAGATTACAAGTGAGAGCACCTACTTGATGAAGAAATTAAACTCATCATGATGATAGATCATATATATAACAACAACTGATGTTTTAAATTATTATGGTATAAAGCAAACTTACATCTGTAGGGTTTCAGATTTTGGTCTGGCACTCCTCTTGAATAGTTGCAACTTCCTGAATTTGGTATTCAAATCCACCAAGCTAGCGGTGTATATGATTAGGTTGTCTACAGTGAGAAAATTCACTTTCATGGGAGAGAATAAACTTACTGAGAACTAGGTGCAGATTGAGAAAGAGAAGATGTCGGAATTCAACCGACCATGCTCCACAGAAAAATAAAGAAAAAAGCATGGTGAGTGCACGGCCATGTGGCAAACCTCAACATCTATCCATTTAATGTGCGGAGTCAAAATCTTATCATTTCTTTTCTTCTTGTTGAGTTGCAGTTGTATGATGGGTTATTAATTTTGTATGAAACATATGTTTATTTGTTGAGATAATATTGTTCTATGCATTAATTTGTGCTACTCAACCTTCTTTTAGTTGCTAAAAGAAGTTTAGTAACTTGTCTAATTAGGCAACCAAAAGGAAGTTTCAACATTTTAATACTAGGAAGTTTCAACATTTGTCTGATTAGGCATGCCATGGTTGGCAGACTTCAAGACCGCCACAGTCTAATAATACAGTTAGGGTGATTCAGGATTTGCAAAATCAATACCTAGGTAACCCAACCAACCCACCCTAGCCAAGCAAACAAAAATCAATATGTAAGCAAAGTCTAGCTAAAGCTCAATTTCAGTCTTGCAATCAAAATGAAGCTCAGATAATAGCAGTAAGCAAAGCTACCTCAAACTGTTCATAAGACCAAATAAATGCCAGCAGGCATGAACTCTGAGGAAAAACTGACCTGTTAGAACTCGTTGATTGCGGATCCCAGTGCGAACAGATATCCACTCATCTGAAGTATCAACAACTTTGGCAAGATCATCATTGGAAACTTGAAGACTTGGTACTTCAAAACCACATCCAACTAGTTTGCAGCCTTTACTGACAAGCCTGTATAAATTCAACCCCAAAATCATAAGGCAAGCAAATGATTTCTCCAATGAATTATCAGAAGCTGATTTGAGATTTCCACATTCAATCCATTGAACCAAATAAGGATCAACTTGAAACATATATGTGCTAACCATATATGTGGTAGTTCGAGCTTAACTTGCGTATAATCACAACGTTTTGAAATATAATATATTAATATTGAGTTACATTTGGATAAAAAAAAAGTATAACACTACTATAAAATCAGTAACTATATCACAAATTGCTACAACTTCACTTCAAAAACTGCATATTGTGATAATCATACAAAAAAAATTACGTAACATTTATTACAAAAACTCATAACGTTCACCAAAAAATAAGTCATAAGGTCATATCGAAGAAATTTCCTTTGCAAATTCATCATAACAATTTATAAACAGCGCACATCAAAGTCCTACATTAAATGATACTTTTCAAGTGCTCAATAGACAAACATAAATGATCGTTCATCTCCAAATTTTTCTATCCTCCGTCCCAAAACATTCAAGTCATTGGATCATTGAAAATCTCAAAATGTGATGATCTAAAGACATAATCTAATAAATGTGAATGTTTTGAGACAAGGGAAGCAGAAAATTGGAGACAAAAAGACTCCATATCGTAGACAATATATGAATTTTCATATGGCTTCCCTGATGTACACACACAACATAGGCACTAATGGAAGCAAGTACTGAATGCTTAACATGATTTACCTTTACCCATTACTACCATGGCTTTGGTCACCTAGCAAAGTGTGAGTGTTGAATCTTTTTATTAAGCCCAATTCTCAGGTAAGCTTCCTATAATTTGACACAAGGACTGGCTCAAAATTTATTCTAATAGGAAAAAAGTTAGATATTGATGTTCTTATTATAACAATAACAAAAGAACAAAGAGAAGAAAAATACCCAATGCAATGACTAAGCTGACTTTTGTTGGCTATATCGTAGAATACCATATACGTCTACAATACCAGGAGGAAACATTGGATCAGTTGCAGCTCTTACAGCAACCCGTGTCACTGAATTCACGTTCACTGGAGGTGTAAACAGAGGGCCAACCAATGGAATTTGGTTGAGTGGCTTCACATGTTGGAGAACCTTTAGTGGTAACTTAACAACACTATTCTGATTTCATACCAGAAGTCATCTTCTTTTATCTCATAATCAATTGGAAGAAATTAATTATCTAAGAATTGTGCTAATGGTTGAGGGTATGAGAATTCTGGGAGCTTCTAAATGCACCCACTAAACTTTTCTCTACACCCACATGTACAAGTATTTCTCCATAAGATAAAAAATTCTACAATGCATATGGTAGGTGTGAAGACAAATTAAGTGGATGTATTTAGAAGCACACAAAAATAACATACACCCATAATTAGTTGCAAATTTCAATTATAAATAATCAAAATTGCTATTAGTCATGATACTCATAAGATGATTAAAGGATCTTGTAACAGATTATAAATTTATAATTGCCCTTAGACTTGTGTTGTATTCAGTATATTAAGCTCAAACTGAACCTTCCCACAAAAAAAATGTTCTTCGCAACAATAAAGTCAAAAGTAGATCTTATGACATTCATTTCAATCATTCATAAGAAACTGAAAAAAGATTTGAAGAGAAAATTGAAAGATGAGATGACCAGTTCAATCAGATACCCTCACTGATAATATCCTTCAAAAGATACAACAATATTGCGATTGTTGCTTGTTATGTTGATTTTCAACTGGACACTCCAGCAGCTTAGGTCCTATTACCCCAATAAAGAAACTCAAGTTCAGGTCTCCTTAACTTGCCTATTAAAGGAAAAATATATTTCCAATTGCCCAATTGTTGCTTACTAGGGAGAAGCTTCAATTACTTTGAGGCAATTGAACCCAAGTATACAAATTGATCAAAGGTAGCACATACAACTTGATCTTAATACGAAATTATTGCCAAAGAAATTGAAGCACAAATCCACCAAAGATGTCCTTTATGCAGTGGAACACTTTCTTTCTCTTTTTTTTTTTTTGGAACACATTGACTAAATAAGAACTGTGATGCTGTGCTAAATAGAGATGTCAATAATCTTGAAGAGAGAATAAGAATTTTACCTCCATATGGGAACCTAATCATTAGCTCCGTTCAGCTGCTTTCTACATCAGTTTATAAAGGTTACATTAGAAAAAAGAGAATGACAAAGAAACTTCAAAAACAAAAGAAACAAAATTGAGATATTGTAGAAATTATTAATTACATGAGAAACATGGCAGTTGTAGAAATGATTTGATGTAAATACAATCTGGAGATGTTCTATGTTCTGTGTATAGTACTCACCTTTCAGCATTAGTATTAGTTCACATTATACATCAATGTAATTTCTTTAACTCTTTATAATATATATATATATATATATATATATATATGCGTGTTTTTCATTAAATTAAACAATAGGAAAATGATTAGTTAATGCACTAAAGAAATAATAACTTTTTATTGGCCAAGGAGTTGAAAACACTGACCATCAAGAAATCATCTTGAAATTTCTCTGATTCAATGGCTGGTAATCTCCTCAAGAGACTAGAAACTTGTCTAAGCAAGTCAGATTGTTCACTTTAAATCAATTTGTTTGCAGTATAAAAATAACTAGAAAGCCAAATAGTACCTTCCCCTCATAATATCCTTTTGGCAGGAAATTTGCGAAACTAATTTCCTAAACCCACCAAATACCTTTCAGCAAGAACATTAAAAATATATTTAGACAATATTTTCCTATGGTGTACTTTTTTAGCAAGAACATAACAATGTATGCAAAAATAGGTGTAGATACAAACTCACCAAAGAAAGAGGCTACAAGATCTCGAGTCTCTTGACTCCAATTGAACCCACGAATGGCCTCGTGCACACCCACATAGTCCAGCATCGAAGAAAAAGTTTGTGATGCAGCTAAAGTTCTTTAGCTAGTTGCTGGAGTTCAAAGTGATCATCTGTCAAAAGTAACCTTGATTCTTAACAAGTACAATACAATTCTGGAAGTCAGAAACCATGATTTAATGGGATAAAAATAACCTCGTCACCATAAAACCGAGAAAGAAAAACTTGAAAGAACTATATGGGACATGAAACAAATTAACCTGGAAGCAAGGTAAGCCTTTGATGTCATCTTTAGTGACAAATAGCCACCTAGAAAAGGAAAAATATAAAAAATAGAAGAACGTAGAAAAGAAAGAGATAGAAGTTTAGAGGCATAACCAAATGAAATCGAAGAGGAAGGGAAAAAATGCCATGCCCAACAACGGTTCATCCAAAAACCACACTCAAATCAAACCAAGTTTAATACTTTCAGAATCACACCCCTATATCTCACTTTCAGAATCATACTTTCAGAATCACACCCCTATACTTTCAAAGAAAGGAACTAAGAATTTTAAGTAGGATCACACCCCTATATCTCACAGATTGAACAATCAAAGCTAAATTCAGAATCTAAAAAAAGGTCTACTCGTTCATACATATAAATCAATAAAGTTCCACAATCAAAATCATCTAATTAAAAAAAAAAAATGAACACAAACCCCAGAATTCAAATTGACAATCAAACAAGAAACAAAGTGAGACCAACAATGTCAAAATTTTACACATAGAAAAAATTTTACACATAGAAAAAATGACACTGAACAATCGAGCACTATTGCGGCAATACAAAACATATATATATGTATATATACATAAACCCTAAAACCATCGTAAAACCCCAAATCAATGACACTGAACAACACAGTCATACAAAATCAACTCACATGTCGTCGATGTAGATGTGGCCTAGAAGATGAATCGAGTAGGGCTATTCGTCCTGGAATGTAATCCCCTGCATTAAAACCTAGAGCGAGCGAGAGAGAGAGAGAGAGAGAGAGTGAGAGAGAGTAAATTAGGGTTTGATAAGAAGAGAGATCAATAATGGAATAGAAGGATGGGTAGTGTGTGTGCCTGGAGGATGAGGTTGTCGCAGATATCGACGATCTTGTCGTAGGATTTGGAAGCCATTGCGTCGCTGTAGATCGCTCACGACAGTTCGATCTCGACCTAGGATTCAAATCTGATTTAGATTTCGACGATCTTCTCGGATCTGGCGGAGGCACCAGTGGAGGAGGAGGAGAAGGAGGAGGATCATCGACGGCGGTGGGTGTTTAGGAGAGAGAGAGAGAGAGAGAGAGGCACCAGCGGAGGACGGAGGAGGATCATCGACGGTAGTGGGGATCTGCGGCGATGGCCGTGGCGATCTGTGTCGGTGGTGGTGGTCTGCGGTGAGGTGAAGCTTGGTGGTGAAGGAGAATCTGTGTGAGAGGTTTGAACAAATGGTTGTAAACAAAGAACAGGGGCGGTGATATATATCCCCCTAAAAAAACATTTCACCTTTAGCGACAAAATTTGTTTTTTGTCGCAGAATCTTAACCTATAACGACTAAAATTTGGTCGGCCATTGTCTACCAGTGCATTTAGATATCAAAACAACGTCGTTTTGATATCTGCGACGGGCTTGTTTGGGGTGTCCTAAATAAGTGTACTTTTTGTCTTTTTGAATTAAAAAATTGAGGAAGAAAATATAGATGTTTGGGTTAACTTTTTGACTTTTTATGGAAAAATATGTAATAAAAAATTGTAAAAATTAGTTTGTAGGAGAAAATTAAGATTGAGAGTTGTGCAGCCGTAATTGTTGACTTTTGGTGAATAGTATTAACTTTTTAACTTTTTGAGTAACTTTTTGACTTTTTGACTTTTCCTGAACATACCAAACTTGGCCTAGATTGTGTTAGTCGCTAAAAGATTTTACTGTTCCCGCCCAATTTTTCACCTTCTGACATCATTTTTAGCGACTAATATTTAAATTGGTCGCAAAAAAGTACCTTTTTGCAACAAAATTACCTTAGTCGGTAATAGTATCAACTTTTAGCTACGAAATGTTTTTTGGTCAGCAAATGTTTATTTTTTGCGACCAAAATTTTTTTAGTCGGCAAAAGTGGTCAAATGTGTAAATTCTTGTAGCTAATTAGCACCATGTTTGTTTATTATGTTAAAATAGCACATATTTTCTAATAGTATTATATTTTGTACAGTTTTTTAAAAAAATAAATTACACTGGTCTCTCTTGAATAAGTAAAATACAATTAAACTCCAAAATGAAAATATACACACCATGCATCCTTTAATTTTAGGGGAAATTACCACTCGGTGGCATTTCCACAAAGTTATTAAAATTTGATGGACAATTTTGAACATTTAATTATTAATATTTCTAAAGCTTATCATTGACCTGTAATTATTTGTTAAAATAAATCTACATTGCACTGAAATTTTTCCTAAATTTTTCTTTTACTTCACACCTTTGGATTACTATTGGCGACTTAACAAATTATTCGTGTTACTATCCGTTTGGATTATAGTTGTATTCATAAAATTTTAAAATGTGAAAACTAGAATTCAGTGTTAACTTTTGAAATAATTACAAATTTTTTAAAAAAAAAATTAAGATTTTAGTTATTAAAGTTTGTAAACTTTATCACCAATGTGCAATTTTTTTTTTAAACCCTACATGGTATTGTTATTTTCCCAAAGACTTTCTATTAAACATATGCAATTGTTTTATATCCTAGATTGTTTTCTCTGGAGACTTAAAACCTCTCCATTGTGTATTGGTGTGTTTACTGGTAAAAGACTGGGTAAATTACAGTAAACATTTTTAAATTAGGACTTATTTGCACTTTGTTTCTCTAAACTTCAAAATACAATAGATAGTTAACCACCTTGAACTATTATCTTGTTACACTTAACATATTCTGTTAGGATTCTGTCACAGGATTTAAACAAAATCAAATCATGTGTAAAACACACAATGATATCCGTTATTGATTTTTTTAAGATAATAATATCCTTATCTAGTGATTCCATTTGCACTTTGTCTTCTTTAACCTAGTAGTAAAGTGAAAACGAGATTACCATATACGGGCCTTATTACTCTAAAAAATCAATAAATATGTCATGTACTTTGTATATGATTTGATTTTGTGTAATCCCTAACAAAATCCTAACATAAAGGATTAATTATAACAAAATAATACTTTGAGATGATTAACTATTGAATTTTGAAATTCAATACGGAAAAATGTAAATGGGTCATAGTTTAAGATTGGTTATTTAATTTACCCTAAAAGAATTGTAGTAATAGTGAAAACCTATTTTGTGTTAAGAATTTGTATATTTAGTGAGTTAATGTTAAATAGAGATATTAAAATGTGTTAAGTGATGTATATATTTTTTATATATTAAAAAAAATAACTCTGTATAAATTTAATGCTTCTCACCCCTCTTCTCCCTTTCTCTCTTCTCATCTCCCCATTTTTTCTCTCCCTCCGTTCTTAACACCGGTCAAGTCCTATTTAGATTGTATTTGGTTAGGAGATTTGGAAAGAAATTTGGAAAGAAAAAGAAAAAAAGGTAGAAGTGTGAATAAAATATATTTACATTTCACCTAATTTTATGCACTTTTTTTCGTCTTTTCTAAATCTTTTCCTAAATCCCCAATCAAACACAGTTTTAGAATATCCATAGTGGACACTGTAAATGCTCCAATGGAAACATTTTGAGAACTTTGAACATGCTAGTGGTTAACTCAACTGTATAGGGGAGAGCTATAGAGAAGGAGAGGAGAAGAGGCAGAGAGAAAATGACGAAAGAGAGAAAGGGAAGGGAGAAGTGTCAAGAAGAGGGAAAATTAACATTTTTGTTGTTATAAAATTAACACTACAAATCTAAACTTATAAATCTTGAATTTATTTACGAATTTCACGCTTCATCAATTTAACTCCACTATATAAACATATTTGGGATAAATTATGAATTGATAAAAAGTGTGTTCATAGCATTTTTGTTATAAAATACATAATATCGACGCATACCATAACATATTCTTTAATATCTCTATTATAACACTCACATACTCACTAATCTAACAAACTTTAAAATACAAAATTAGATCTCACTTCTATTACTTTTTGTCATATAACGTATACCAACAAAACAGTTTTAAAATTTTCATTCTCTGTCCCTCACTCCTCTTTGCTAAGCCTATCACTCCAGTTAGTAAGGGTTTTAAAATCTAACTCCAATAGAGCTTTAAAATCCCTACAACACTTTTAGCAATGCTCTCTTGCCCACCAACATAAGCTTACTTTTGGACACTGAGAGATATACTACATGGTTTAGAAGATGGCAATCTGTGGTTAATTTATTGATTTTCTTTTCCTTCGGTAGAAAACAATTATTTTTTTTTGAAATTTGGACTAGTTCAAATTGCTTGCATAATAGCACTCTCGTAGTACATTTTGCATGTTGAGATCATCATCTCCACCACCCCAAAATCTGGATTTCAAGTTTCATAAAGAAAGACATTTTTCTTCCTCAGCATCATGCAGGCCCATTAATGTAATATGGGTTTCATGTCCTTGATTTTGCAATGTAGCTTCTATTTGGGTAAATTTACACTTAGTACTCTTGCACTTTTATCAATATCTCATTTTAATCCCCTCAATTTCAATTATAACAATTACTACCCTACACTTTAAATCAAATTCCAATCTCACCATTCTGTCCATCTAACGTTAATAAAGCTAACGAAAATTAAAAGTGAATGAACTAAAATGAGATTTTGATAAAAGTGCAAATGTATTAAAGTGAAATTTTAATGAAAGTGAAAGAGTGCTAATGAGACAATAAAAATATTACATGCGTTTCGAATGACATATGCCATCAACTTTATATTAACACTAGATGGATAGAAGAGTGACATTGTAACTTGACTTAAAATATAAAAGATTGACTGTTACAATCAAAAGTGAATGAACTAATAAAGTAATATTTTAATAAAAGTGTGAGTTCTATTTGTAATTTACCTTTTCTATTTTAAATTTGAAGACCTGTGAGAGGTCTTCAACTTCTACTAGTGTAGATTACAAATGAACTACGTTGCTCGCAAACTCAACTTGGCTCAATTTCGTAAGGGTTTCAACTGCACTCAGTTCAATATATATATAAACGAGCTTGAGTTAAATTTTTAAGGTTCAAGTTCAAGCTCAAATAAGCTTGCTAGTTTATTATTTATTTAATTAATAAAATAAATATATTATTTACATATTAAATAACTTATAATATGTTTCATAGACATATTGTAATATATAAGATTTAACGAGCCAGCCAAACTCGATTATCAAGCCGAAGTTTTCCTTCATCAAGTTTTGTGCCGAGCTATTTAAAGCCCTAACTGCTGGGCTAACAGGGCTCCTGCTTCATGTTTTGTAAGATAGAATTTCAAATAGCATATAAAAACAAAACAAAACAAAAAAACAAAAAAGGAGAACATGAAGATGATTACTCTTCTTATGTTTTTTGTAGGATCACTACTCTCAAAACAAGGTACATTATCCGTTTACTGAGAGAAAAATAATTATACATTAATACCCTATTATTTTTACATGAAATTTTAACATAATACATGGTCCTACCTCATTTTCTATCCTAAGAAAAAACAGTTGAAAAAAAAAAAGAGGAAAGAGGGTAGAAAGAATTTTCCACCCAGTTGAACTAAACTGAATGCCGAGAACAAACCTGCAAAACAATAATCTTCCCATGGCTAGAACATCTCGAAATAGAACAAAAAATTGAGCTGACGAAAGGTATAAAAGCCATGGAAAAGAAATCTTCCTGTGGCGAAATATCTATCAGTGCTATAAATATTAGAGCACAATATTCCACCACCTATTCATCATCCTCTGAATCTGCATTTGGGTAGGAAGAAGTTAACGACTGTTTAACAGAACAATAAAAAAAGACCACAGATGAAAAACAATGCAATTAAAATGAACAGATGATAAATGAAAAAGAATGCAATTAAATTGAACACAAGCAACAAAAAGAAGAGACCCATAGGATATCGTTTTGATTGGCCAGTTTCCATTCAATTGGTTTACATGATGAATTATAATAAAACCTTAAAAAGCCAGGACTAAGTTTTGCCAATGAAATCTCAACGGATAAGAGCTTTGTAATATTTTCTAATCAAAAAAAAGTTCATTGTGGTGACAAATTACATTTTTATTTCCCTTGTTTTTTCCCCTTGTTCCATTTTCCTTCATGTGATCAACACAAGTGCAGGGGGAAAGGGTATTTCACAGAATTTTCGTGTAAATTCAATCTATGAAGCATGGGTACTCCAAAAATGTTGCCGTACAAGTACCAGGTACTTACCGGGTACGGGTACGGCTGCACGCATACCGGGTACGGAAAAAACATATCCGGTACATTTTATACGACCTGTATATATCTGGTATGCCTTGGGTACTCCATTGGTATGCGGTTGGGTATGCCAGGGTCAAAACAAAATTTTCAGAATTTTTTAGGGGCACCGCAGCAAATATTTTTGCCCATTTTGAAAAATTAAACAAATATGGGGTGTTTAGTAATAATAAAAAACATAAAAACTATCATCATTTGAAGAAAACCCTAAATTATTCCAAGAACCAGAGGTTCAAAAGAGTCAAGTCGACTTCCATTCAAAGAACAAAGCTGTTGAATTTGCTTTCCATCAAAGATGACACTGCTGATCGTCAACGAAGCTCAATATTCTGGTGAGTTCCTCTTCTTCTTCGATTTTTCTTCCTCTTTCTTCTTCGCTGGTGAGTTCCTCTTCGATTCTTCTTTCTCTTTTGGCGAAGCTCTTTCTTCTTCAACTTTGCTCTCCATCGAAGAAAACCCTAAATCATTCGAAGAAGAGACCTCATTTTACAACACTACGAGTCGTCGACGAAGCTCTTTCTTCGCTTGTGAGTTCCACTTCTTCGATTTTTCTTCCTCTTTCTTCTTCGCTGGTGAGTTCCTTTTCTTTGGTGAGTATCATTTTAATTATTAAATTAAAGAATTATAACAGTTGATTTCTTAACTCATTTATCTTTTAATATTCCCAACTCGTTTCAGATTTTTTCTGATCTATTTGTTTCAGATTTTTTTTTTCCTAATCTTCTATGTACTGACATTAAAATAGTTCGAGGACTTACTTTAGTATTATTGATATTGTTGAAGAATGATTTATTTTTTGATATTGTAATTTTTCTTGGATGTTTAGTTATAAATAAAATAAATAAATAAATAAATTGACGTACCCAGCCGTACCCGTACCCGTACCCTACTTTTTCTAGAATTTGCCGTATCGCCATACATATATCGTACCCGTACCCGCACCCACACCCGTGCTTCTTACTTGATAGTCTTGCGGAAATGGAATATGAATCTAATCTTGATTTTGATATGCAAAATGCTTACCAGATCGTATATCTTCTCCAACTTTCCCCCTATTTTTCAGCTGCCTCGTGATCATCGAGCATATAAGAACCCACCAGTATATGTGGAACACAAGTAGGGTCAATAACATAGTGTTGAAGACATAGTATATTGACATGGGATATGCCTCCGAACACCTCAAAAACTCACAAATGTGATAGCTGCAATATACCAACCATTCAAAGGGTTATGCTGAAGCATGACAAAACGGTACTGATTAGTGAAATAAAACATTTGGTTTGAGGACAAACCTTGATGAATTTATAACCCAAAATGGGAAGACTATCAGCCTTAGTATCAGCCATGAAATAGCAAATAATCCAAAGAACACACTCGCTCCCAGCTCCTTCTCAGAATATTTGAAAACTTTAGCAGCTTCCAAAAATACATCACTTGCATCATGCAGTGCGAGGATAATTGAGCCAATCCGGAAGAAGCTGTAAAACACACATGAAGAAAAGACGTGATGCAAGTGATGTAATGACGCTAAAAAGAGTCTGCGGTGTGGTGTCCGCTAATTGAAGAAAAGTTCAGCACTTAAGGTAAGTTCCTTCACACTACACATTTCATTATCAACAATAAATATACCCATAAAAAATAAATAAATAAATAAAGAAACAGGCATGAATAATCTTCACAGAAGAACAGCCTAACAGCTACAATTCAACTCAACTGAACTAAGACTTTTTTGGGTGAATACTGAACTAAGACTTGTATCCAAGATTAATTGAACAAAAAAAACTTGAACAAACAAATAAAATTCAGAAAAATAGAAGCCTTGTCTCAACTATTTGAGATTAGCTCAGCTAACCATGCTCACCACCCTGCCCTGCTTCGTGGGTTTCCTGCCTTTGCTATTGCTTTGATGAGTCCCCACTACTAGCTGACACACAGCGCTTGTGCCCCACCAGTTGACACAGACTCCTGGACTTCGTTGTTTTGTTCTTCATCTGTACCTTTGCTTGAATAAAGACCACCCAATCAGCCCGACTTCCCCAAACTCCCACCACCAGCCCTTCTCATTTGCCGTTAGTCCGTCTAACACCTTTCGGTTGGGGTCTTGCACTCTCTCTTCACATGTTCAAGAAGTGGATTTGTGAACCTTGTGAAGACAGAGGTTCAATAGAGCAGCGGTGGATGTTGAGCATAGGATAAAATTCACATCAAGTTGGAGGGCATCTTATTGATTGGCCTCGTTCCTCTATGTCAAAATGCGAGATACCCTCTAGCCCAGGCTAGCTCTTAAAAGACGGATGCTTCCTCTTCTCCGTGTGTATTGAATGATGGAATGAATAAAGCCAAGCAACGTGTAGCATAGTGAATGTTGAAAGCTCTGTGAAGTGTTCTTATTCTTAATGAATAAGTGGTCATCAACTAACTACAAGACGGTAGCTGGCTCACCTTTCCTAGTTTTCCTGGAATGGTGGGCTTACAAGACTAGATGCCATTGGGGGCTGACCAACTATGAATAAATCGATCATACAACAGTAGGAACATCTATTAGTCCATATTGTGGGTCTACTAGTTACAAAAGCTGAACATCTCCATTCCAAAACCTTCACATAGGTCCTCAGGCAAACATTGAAAAGGGGACAAAACCAGAGTCGGAACCATAAGAAAAGTACCAGTTGGAGGGAGCACCCACCGGTAAAGTCATTTCTTGATCTTTGACAACAAGCAATGTTAAGAGAGGCGGAGTATTCATTCACAATGGGTACTACAGAACATGTACAAGCGCCTTCTAATGGAAAAATAAAATTCACTGAAAATTTGGTACATCCAACATGTACACATCATGGGCATCCTGCTTACCAAAGATCCTACTTCTACAATTAGTAGATCACCAGGTTATTCAAATAAGTAGTGTTTTCCATGGTCATGTTAGTGTGTCGGCAGCCCTGTCTGTCGCACTGTCAACTCTATCTATTTATTTTATTTTCTTTACTACCACTCATTTTCCCAAGAATTCATACACTTCCCTAGGAATTCCACATCCCCTTACAGAGTAATTAACTTTAGCCATCAGCTACAAAAAGTAACCACCCTTTTCCAAGCTTGGATTCACTCTCTGAAGGGGCAAGACGCAGAACATCACACAATACAAGTGTCGCCAAACAACTACAAAAGAGTTGACTAATGACAATACTGAACATCATACTACCATATATATAAATAAAGGGGAAAAAAAAAGTGCATCACCATATTGTCAAAAACACGACAGAAAATATTTCATTTACAATTTCTCACACTTAGAACATCCCTACGAATGCATGAACCATAGATATTAATCATTGTGCAATTCTTGCAAGTAAATCTACATTCTGTCTGGCATGGAAGCCATTGTATGTTGTTCCAGTAGTCATGAACTCAGTTCGTGCTGTCATTGGACAAGGCAAAGATAAGTCAAAAGACATGATTTGACATTTCTTGCTTCTCTATAGATTGCTGCTCACTCCAAAATATATAAAAGCCTCGTTAGGTCCCAACTTCTTGGCCATGACAAACATATTTCATTTTAATTCATTATCATTGACCTTGGGCTTATTCAGTAATGCTATGCACACATAGGACCAAACACAGAACCAAACACAAAAACTGTTCATCCAAGCGACCGGCCGGATGACCAGGTGGTCAACCAACCAGAGCTTGTCGACTGCGGCTATCATCTTGTCAACCACAAATGTCATCTTGTCGACCACGGCTATCATCTTGTCATCCGGTTGACCACCTGGTCATCTAGCCGGTTGTCTGGATAAACAGTTTTTGTGTTTGGTTCTGTGTTTGGTCCTCTGTGCGTAGCATTATTGTGAGTTTATTTTCAATTACAAGCAACTCTTCATCGAATGCAATTTCACAAACGATCTCTTGGTTTTTTCCGTGGACAATAACTTAATGTTCATGATTATATCATGTACAAAGTAGCAGCTTAACTTGTTAAATTCTCACTAGTCTAAGCCTCAATAGAATCCTTACCAATTTTAGTTGTAAGCACGATTCTACACTTGCAACAATTAATGGACAAGGCCTCCACGAAAGGGCTAAACAAAAGAAAATCAATTCCAACATTTAGCACTTGTAGGGAAGGGTGAAAAAGAAAGAAAGACAGACAGAAAGACAGAAAGAAAGAAAGAAAGAAAGAAAGAAAGAAAGAAAGAAAGAGAAGAGAAGAGAAGAGAGTAATAATCACAACATTTTGTGATTTGTGATCAAGTAAGTGATTTCCACTTGCCCACTTCTCACTGGAACAGGTAAAATTTGAGAAAACAATACAGGCAAGGGCATTTTCCAATAGAGCATGCAAAACTCATATGTTATGGATAGTAACTCATACGTTATGGATAGATAGCAGCAATATTTTCGTAGCTCTGCCTTCAGTAAGCATAACTTATTGGAGGACTGACCGCAGAAATTTAACATGATCTTGAACTGGGAGACAAACATCTTTATAACATTCCCTGGGGGTTAAACTTCAATGGAGCAGTAATCCATATTAATAGAACTACCTTGTCGAATCTTATCTTATGCAGATTCCAAGAAAATGTTAATTAGCTATGTATATATTTTCACAATTTGGTTCCTTGAGATACATCAATCTAAAAAAGCTCCCTCATAATCATTGACAAAGGGATCAAGTCACTCATACTGATTTCTAAGGTGCTTAAATTACCAATAGCTGCCCAACATGAAGGAAAAACATCGGATTAACTCCTTTTTTTTCAACTTATTGTTCAAATATTTACCGGTCATAATATGCCACGATGGCAAGTGCTATCTTCCCCAGTACTGAGGCACAAGTTCTAGTCACAAGAATCATCCTCTCCACAAATGTGAAGGTAAGGTTGCCTACCTATTACCTCTCCTAAACCTTGTTGCATGTAAGAGCCCTGTGCACTGGGTACGACATTTTCTATTGAATTATTTAAATAAAATGCACTTTGGCATCAAGAATCAGAGACAGAAAGCATTGTCGTTAGCTCATTTGCATTTAATGTGGTTATGGTAGAGGGAGGAAAATAGGATTTTCCAAGGAGTTGAGGAGCCTTTACACAGGCTTAAGAGTAGTTTTTGGCCATGTTCTATAGTTAGGTTTTAACTATGACACACATGTATGGGGTACGGGTACTAGAAATGGTACTTTATGGGCACGTCAATATGGTAAAATCTAAAAAAAGTACAGTACAAGTACAGCTAGGTATGCTCGTAAAAAAAATATTTACTTTTTAATTTGAAGTACCATAAAAATCAATTAAATGGTTTTGTTAAAATCCAACTTACAATTCACATTTAATGCCAAAAGTAAGCTATAAACTAAAATTAAATGTCATTAAATTAAATAACTTACAAATCAAACCTTAGTTTTAAAATCATACTAAGCATTAAAAAAAAAAAAAAAATTTAATTTCACATCTACATGGAATAAAATACTATTCTGGCTGAGATACGACATGAGTATACACTAGATAGATTAGAAGTACAGCAAAAATTAAGTAGAAAAAATTTGAATGTGTTTTGTATACCTGGTATGTATGCAGAAGTACCATGCAAAGTTCTAGTACCCGGTACGAGTACGGCATGCTTGTCGAAGCACCCATGCTATAGGGTTTTAGCGAGTGTTTGCTTCAATATTGATCATTTTGTAGATTATAGATTCTCTTCAAGTATAAGAATCTTTAGGATTTTTTTGGACATTTGATTGTACATGCTTCTTCTTTTTCCTTTCATTCTTTACAAGTCTTGGTTATCATGGTTTAACCTTTTTCATACATAGGCAACATCCTCTTTTGACGCTCTTTTATTTCAATTTACTTGCACACACGCACACACACAAAAGTAAAGGCAATTTATTGTCCTTTTCATATCTTATTTTATGTTTTTATGGGAAGAAAAACAATAATTTGCTAGCTAGAATTTTATGGAAGCTTGAAATAGTGTATGTTAGCACCAAGAAGATTGTTTCCTTGTACCTTAGGAAGCATGAATAGTATGAAATGGATGCCTTGTCCGTGTTTGACACGTGTCAGACACAAACACAGTGTGGACACGTGTCCACGTGTTAGATACGCCACATGGGGTGTTAATTTTCTAATCATATATATATATATATATATTTCATAACACACTAGGAACAACCGATGAAGTATAGATGTGGATACAACACAACAAAAACACATTGACATGGCAAATTCCAAAAAATATAGGACACGGACAAGGTTTGTACACACAACAAATAATTATATATTGATATCATATTATCTAGGAATATAATATAGGGGGAAATTCAGTTTAGCCCCCCTCAGTTTGAAAGATGGAACACTTCACCCCCCTGTGCTTCAAATATAGGCAAAGAGCCCACGTGTTTTAAACTACAGTGCAATCCTAACTCTATTAATAGCATAGATGAAATGGCCTCAATACCCATCCAATGTCATTAAAGGTG